CTCGGATTATATTTTCTCTCATAAATGTCATTAGGCCTGCTTTTTTGTTATTGTTATTGTTGACAATTACATGGTACCCCCTCTCATTGCCCCCTTCATCTTAACTCCCCCTGGGCTGTTTTATCTTAGCTTTGCCAAGTGTGAGTAATTTACGGCTGGATTTTGTTCCAGCTCCTGCCCCTCTGCCTGTCACCTCACCTTTGCTCCTGCTGCCCCCACCCTGTCTGGCATCCCTGGCCCTGCTGCTCCTGCCTCATCTTTGAACCCTGCTGCGGGGTGCTGGGCTCCCTCCCATTGCCTCTCTGCCCTGGCTCCTTTCCCTCCCAACCCTGCCTCGACTTGACAGGCATTCAGGAAACAGACACACACGACCCCATGGCCTCTGTCTGGGGGCCTCTCTCTGAGGTGGGAGAGGCCCTTAACACCCAAGCAGATTCACAAATGAGATTAGAACTGCAAATGGTGGGGTGTTCTATGAAGGAAAAAACAAGATGCTATCAGGGAGACATTGGGGGAGGGGAGAGCCTAGTTTAATTAGGATGAAATATGCCTTGTTCCCCTGAGGAGGTGACATTTCAGTTGATACCTGAAAGATGAGAGGGAGCAGGTACAGTGAGAAATGAGGGGACAATGATTCCACAAGTAGGGGACAGCAGTCTTTTCTTGTCACTGAGAAGTGTCATCTGAAGGCTCTGTGCACCCCATCCCCCCAGAGATATGTGAGCTGGGGGAGGCAGATGAGGACCACACGTGTCCCCGAGGCCAGCGCAGGAGGGCCACAGACCTCCTTCCCTCTGGGCCTTTTGAGGGGCTCCTGCTGGGCCTGGTTGGGAGTGCTCGGTTTGGGGAGCAGCCACAGCCAGGGAAGCACGGCTCAGGTGAATAGGTCAGTGTGGCACAGTCCTGGCTGTGGGATTTGTGAACACACAAAAAACCCTTGAACCTATAGAATCAGCAACTCCCCAACAATGCTCCTGAGGCCTTTGCAGGCCCCAGGGGGCTCTCTTCTCCAGGCTAAACATTTCTGTTTCTACCAGTTTCGGTTTCCCCAAGCCATCCCTCAGGGCTGGTGAAGTGTGGGGATGGTTCCGGGACCTGTTAATTACATGGGATCCCATGGCCCGAGCTGGGCCCCAGCTTCTCCTTGGCTGTGTGGCTTGTCTCGGTCACTTATTCTTTCTGCTCCTGGGGTTCCTAGATGCTAAAAGGAGGACAGAAAGGAGGACAGTGAGGAGCCTTCTCCTTGCAGTGGGGATCAGAGGGCTGCTGGGGCAGCAGAGGTTTGTGCCTGAGGCCACCCCCTGATGCGGGTCTTGTGCTCCAAAACCCTTGGATGATCTTGGCCGCTGTGACCCACTGATTCGCATGGAGGACAGGTGCTTTGGGATTCCTTGGATCCAATTCTATTTCCCTTATCCTGTCCTTTCCTTGATTCTCTGAGGCATCCTGCTTGATCCCCTCTGGAGACTCGAAAACTGGGGACAGCTCTTGGCAGTTTCTTGCCTTGTCATCCTGCACCTGCAACATGAACATCAAAAGCCCCAGCTGCCAGGCAGAAGGGTCCCCTGGCAACTAAAATCCCTGTTGGCCCCATTGGAAAGATGGGGCCCTGCCACAGGTGCCTCCAGTCAAGGGGGAGCCTTGGCCTGGAGGCACCTGTGGAGTGCTCATGGAGCAGCCACCCATGGGGACCAGCAGCTTCTCATTGGGGAGGCAGTGTAGAGGGCAACAGGGGCTAGGGTAGGGCTGGCGTCCTGCCACTGCAGGAGATGGGCGGTGCTGGCAGCTTGTTATCCTGGCCACCAGTAGTGATGGATGGAGCAGAGGGCGGGGTGAGCTCTGTCACTGTGGCTTAGAGCTCAGGCTGTAGGCATGCAGGAGCTCCAGGGGACAGAGGGGATAGTGGCAAAGAGCACAATACCCCGCCCCCGGACACTGAGGGACTGAGAGGAGCAGAGGCCTTCAGGCCAGGTGAGCAGTGTTGGTGTCAGGGAATTCCTAGACAGCTGACCTGGGACCAGATAGGAGCTGGAGCTCCCTGCAGCGGGACTTGGTGTGGGGGACAGGCCTGCCTAGGACCAGAGTATGGTTGGAGTCTCTGCCTGACCTGGGCTCCAGGACTAAGCCCATTGTAGGGAAACGGAAGATTGACAGGGTAGAAGGAATGTTAGCCTGGCTGCTTGTGTGGCCCTGGGCCTGGAGACTTGGAGGCCCTGCTGATCATGGAGCCACTCCCATGTCCTGTCAGGCCTGAGCAGGCCCGAGGCGTCCAGGGGCTGCACTGCAGGGCAGGGCACATGCCTTTCTCCTCAGCCCTGTGCAGAGGGCTGCACTTTGAACTTGGGCTTTGGGGCATCTCTACAAGGCTTGGGTCTTGGGGGAAGGTGTTCTAGAGCATCATGTCCAAGTCATGCCCCTAAATCATCATGATTAAAGTAATAACTAGAACAGCAATAATTATGCTTGGGGTGAAATTGTCATTTCTGTTGCATCTTTAGGACACATTGCTGTTTTTAATGGACCCATAACATAAATTTAGCCAAACACTGTGCTTGCTTGGCAGAAAGAGCTACAGGATGTGTCCCAGCCAGCTCTGGCTCTGTGGCAGCCCCTTTACCCCTCCACCCCGCCCCCCCACCCTCACACAGGGAACAGTGGAATGGGGGGCACCACACGGCAGCTCCCAGGGTTAGGGTCTGGGGCACACTCTGACACTTTCGGGGGCCAGGAGGGCAGCAGGCCAGGTGGCCTGGGGACACGGGCCCCGTGTGTCGTGCCAATCCACAGCCCAGTGTTACCTTCCCCTCACTTCCCCTCAACCCCATGACCCCATGTCCTCAACAGAAGATGGCTATTCCAGATTTTGTTCAACATGAACTCTCCCGATTTTGAAATACTGTCAACCAAATAAGGTATTTTTAAAATACTGCATGGTCCTAATACGTGCCTCTGTGGTCTGATTTTGTCCTGGGGACCACCCATCAGTGACCCCTGGCTTGACAGGGGCAGAGGGGAACATCTAGCCTCTTCCTAAGGGAAGAGTTTGTTTTTTATTAATGGAAATTACCATTTTTCTGCCTCCCAAGGTGGTTCTGAAGGTGAGCTGTCCCTGCTTGTTGGAAATGCAAAGAAATAAATGTGTAAAAATAGAGTAGCAATTCCTCAAACCCCCTGTCAGGTTTAAGTAGCTGGTGTCTCCTCTGGGAGCAGCATGGACGGTCCTGAATCATCGCCAGGCAGCCGGCAGAATGAGCAGCTCTGCATGGGCGCTGCCTGCCCGCCTGCCATCCCAGCCCCCATCCCTGCCCCTGCAGGGCTCCCTGGCATTTGCACGTCAGCGGGCCCCGGGAGGCGGCAGGCCTGGGGCTGGGGGCATGAGGACCCCCCAGGAAGTACCGGGATGCAAGCAGACACTCAGCCCTGGCCCAGCTTAGTTCTGTCAGAGACCTCCCCCTCTGCTTCTGTTTCATCTCCTTAACCTTCACCCCCACTTTCCCTCCTTGGTGCCTGTCCTGTGGCCAGTTGGCAGCTCTGGGCCTCAAACCTAACAGACAGCAGGTGCAGAGGTGAGAGCTCCTGGCTGAGTCAGCTGGGCTGGAGTTCCATTAGTCTTTCTGTCTGTAAAGTGGGCACAGTTGTGCACACCACAGAGGCCCGTTTGTCAGGTCTGGCTGCGGAGACCCGTGCACAGGGCTGAGTGGTGGGGTAGGACCAGAGGGCAGGCTGCCTCGCCTGACTTTGAGCTGCCACGCTGCCTTCAGAGGCCCTGTTCTGCCTCCAGCATCTGCCATGTGCCACTGGGATGCACAGAGAGTTCCTGCTCCCATCTGGAGGAGGCAGCAGATGAGAGGCTTCTGGGACAAGTGAGAATTATTCTGGAAGACTCTTTGTAGAGAAGTGGTGCTGCAGGGGGCATCAACCCCACCTCCAGATGCAGGGGCCACAGGGACCAGATACCACACCCTGGGTGGGTGATGGCATGAAGAACTGAGGTCCTAGGCCCTTCCCCAGGGCAGGTGTCTGGGAATACCAAGGAAAAGCAGGACCCTGGGGTCAGGGCCCCAGTACAGACATGGAGTCCAGTACAGGGACGTGGGGGGCTTCCAGAAGGCTTTCGCCCTGGGACTTAGCAGGCGGTGTGGTCTGGGACTGCCAGCAGTGACAAAGGTCAGCCTGGTCAGTTCAGCTGCCACCCTGAGAGGTGGGGGCAGGGAAGGGCTGGGAGCCTGAGCTCTTGTCCAGGGTAGGCTCCAGGCCTAGTGCGTGGAGGGCAAGAAGAGATCTGAGGCAGACAGCGAGATGACCTTCTGGGACCCTTCACTGAGGCCCCTTGGGCCCCTTCCCCACCCAGGCAGACTATGAGGAAGCTGTCAGTAGAGGACCCTGGTCCCCTGCACAATTCAGTCAAGTAACCACCCATCTCCCTGGCTTGTGGTGAACTGTGCCTACCTGGGGAGGGGTCCCCATGCGAGGTCTTGACCCTGGAGGGGGGCAGGTGGGCCTGGCCAACAGATGAGGGGCCTTGCTTCAGTGGAGGAAAGTTCCAGAAGAGGAGCTGCCTAGGGAGACACAATGGAACACACACCACCAGGGCTGGGCCTTGGTCTTCTCGGTTATAATGTGGTGGCCACATTGGGGAGACCAGCCCTTTGGCACCTGGGCATCTGTTCTCAGGCATTTGAGTGTGTGAATGGGTGAAAAGAGCTCGCACTGGCCAGGCCCACTCCCAGCGATGTTTTTACAGCCTCTCCATTCATCTCTGGGTGCCAGACCTGGGCTCAGTGATGGCCATGGACTTGGTACTGAGCCCAGTTTTCATGCACTCTGTTCCCCCAGAACCTCAGTTCATTCTGTAAAATGGGGATTGTTTGGGTACTGTGTGAGTTTTCACCAAGGTGATGGCCAGGCTGGTTCCGAGTTGTACCCACATGGGGTTTTGCCTCATTCAGATGTCCCTGGTGAGCCTGGGCTACTGCAGACTGTGTCCTCTGTCCTTCCAGGAGCTCCGCCAGGCAGCCTGGATAACCTCAGCCGCGCCCTGGGTGTCCTGGAGGAGCGTGTCAATGGCTCGAGGCATAGGGCGCGAAGGCATGCCACCGATGGCGACTACAACATCGAGGTCCTGCTGGGCGTGGACGATTCTGTAGTCCAGTTCCATGGGAAGGAGCACGTGCAGAAGTACCTGCTCACACTCATGAACATTGTAAGTGGGGACTGGTGGCGGGGCTGGAGCAGTGGGACTGACGGAAAGGTAACCAAATCCATGGGCAAGAACCCCTCCGCCGCCCAGGGCCCCAATGGAGAGGTAGGGCAGGGGCAAGAGGATGCGAATGATCCAGTGGCTGGGCCGAGAGACCCCTCCCCGCCTGCCCACCTTCCTCTCCACCAGCCTTAGGTGAGTCATCGACCTTCTAGAACTCTGCGCTCTCATCCATGGAGTGCGGCCGTAGTCCAATAGGTTTGCAGACCATGTTCTATTTTGGAGAGTGTTGTTACACTTAATCTCATCTCATTTTTTGAAGAGTACCTTTAATGTTATAATAATGAAACAGCCACAGTGCCTGCTGTCATTAGTGACTATTAGTGACTATGTGTGGGTTTTCCACACCAAGTACTTCCAACATTAACTACCCAGGGTTGGCACGGACTCCATGGGCCAAGGTTGGCCCCACTTCTGACACGCCTCACAAGTCCTGCATTGTCACCCATATGACCTGATCGGAACACCCAACCAGCCATAAATCAAGGGTTCCCATGCTCCCCTCAGGTTCACATATTTGCCAGCACAGTTCACAGAACTCAGGAAAACCTCCTTACTACCACTGGTATATTCTAAAGGATGCATCTCTGGAACAGTCAAATGTCAGAGATGCCTAGGTCAAGGCAGGTGGGAAGGGGCTGAGAGCTTCTGTGCCCTCTCCGGACGCCCCAGACGCCCAGCACCTAGGTGTGCTCCCTAGCTGGAAGCTTGCAGAACTCCATGGTTTAGGGGTTTTCTGGAGGTTTGATTGGCCGTGGGTGATTGAACGCAATCCCCAGCTCCTCTTTCTCCCTAGAGACCCCAGGGTGGGGGGAGGGGGCAGTGCTAGAAGTTCCAGCCTTCTGATCCCCTCTGGGATGGTCGGCTCCTCTGGACGACCATCCTGAAGCTATCTAGAGCCCAGCAAGAGTCATCATCAGCATGAACTCAGGTACAGTTGAAAGGGCTGCTCCTGTCACCCCTGTCCCTCGGACATTACAGGGTTTAGGAGATCTGTGTCAGGAATGGGGGGTTTGAGGGGCAGAGACCAGTATGTATTATTAAATCACACATGGGTTGACTCCTGGTCCCACCATTACCTGGCATGGAGGGTCCCTCTGTCGCACACGCCCCGTGCTGCATGAGCCAGAAGGTCGAAGTCTCGAACTTTCTCTTGGTTTTTGCCAGTCAACTTCAGTTTTTTCATGTATACCCTCAGGCTCCAACTATACCCCAACTTTGGATAATAGGATGTTTTGGTTAGTTTGGTTAGTTTCTTGAAAAGCCTGAGAAACGCAAACATTCTTAAGTTGAAACATATTTTATCAAAGCAAAAAAAAAAAAAAGATTTTAGGAGATAAATTGGAGGAACTGAGGAAAAGTAGTTGGGTCAATTCTCTTTTCCCTGTGGCATCCAGCAAGCATTTATTGGATGTGTCCTTGTCCCAGGGCAAGGCAGCCAGCCAGGGGCTCAGGGAGAAGGGGGGAAGGGGGATGTCTGCCCCTCTAACCTGAGCTCTGCCTCCCAGTGTGGTGGGGGAGATGAGGCGCCCTGCCTCAATGTGCATCCTCCTGACAGCTAATACCCTGTGAGGCTCTGTGTCCTCATTCAGGGCTGTCTACTCCTGGGAGCGAGTCCCCGGGGGCTGATGGAAGTCACATCCCTGTTGGTGGTCTTGGGGAGGAGGGAGATTGAGGAATCATGAGTTTGTAAGAAAGGATATCCAACAGAACCTTTTTCAGGACTGGAAATGCTCAAAATTCTGCCTTTTCCAATGCAGGAGCCACCAGCCAGCCCTCAAGCACTTCAAATGTGACTGATGTGATGGGAGAACTGATTTTTTTTTTCTTGAGTTGGAAAGATGGAAGAGCTTTATTCAACAAAATTGGTCTTAATTGGTTTTTGTAAATAAACAGTATGTGTTTAATCCCTTTTTTGTAAGTACATATTTAGAGATGGATAAATAGGTAGACAGATACTCACGTATATATTCCTTTTTTTTTTAGTAATTTTTTATTAACATAGAGTTTTTATTTTCCCCAGGGATACAGGTCTGTGAATCATCAGTCTTACACAATTCCCATCACTCACCATAGCACATACCCTCCCCAGTGTCCATCACCCAGCCCCCCTATCCCTACCCCCTGCCCTCAGTTTGTTTCCTGAGATTAAGAATTTCTTATGGTTTGTCTCCCTCTCTGGTTTCATCTTGTTTCATTTTCCCCTCTCTTCTCCTATGATCCTCTGTCTTTTTTCTCAAATTCCTCATATCAGTAAGATCATATGATAATTGTCTTTCTCTGATTGACTTATTTCGCTCAGCATAATACTGTCTAGTTCCATCCACATCGTTGCAAATGGCAAGGTTTCCTTTTTGATGGCTGCATAGTATTCCATTGTATATCTATAGCACATCTTCTTTATCCATTCATCTGTTGATGGACATCTATGTTCTTTCCATAGTTTGGCTGTTGTGGACATTGCTGCTATAAACATTCGGGTGCACATGCCCCTTTGGATCACTACATTTGTATCTTTAGGGTAAATATCCAGTAGTGCAATTGCTGGGTCGGGGGGTAGCTCTATTTTCAACTTTTTGAGGAGCCTCCATGCTGTTTTCCAAAGTGGCTGCTTCAGCTTGCATTCCCACCAACAGTGTAGGAGGGTTCCCCTTTCTCCACATCCTTACCAACACCTGTCATTTCCTGACTCGCTAATTTTAGCCATGCTGACTGGTGTGAGGTGGTAGGAGAACTGAATTTTTATGTCATTTTAGTCTCAATACAATTTTAAAATTTTAAACAGTTTTTTGATTGTGGTAAAATACATGTAAAATTGACCACCTTCCCCATTTTCAAGCATACAGTTCAGTGGCATGAACATGTTCCCACAGCCATGCAACCATCACCACCATCCATCCCCGAAGTCTTTCACCTTGCAGAGTGGAAACTGTCCCCATTAAACACTGTCCCCTCCTCCAGTGCCCAGCAAGCACCATTCTACTTTCTGTCTCTGTGATATTGACTACTCTAGGTACCCCATGTAAGAGGACTACTTGTCCTTTTGTTACTGGCTTGTTTCACTTAGCAGGATGTATTCAAGGTTCATCCCTGTTGTGACATGTGTCAGAATGTCCATCTTTTTAGAGCTGAATAATAGCCCATTGTGTGTCTCTACCATGTTGTATTTCTTCATTCCCCTGTCAAGAGCCACTGGAGTTGCTCCCACTTCTTGGTTATTATGGAATGATGTGGCTGTGCACATGGGTGTATAAATATCTCTTCATGCCCCTGCCCTCAGTTCTTTTGGGAATATCCCCAGGAATGGAACTTCAGGATTATAGGGTAGTTCTATTTTTTATTTTTTGAGGAACCTCCATACTGTTTTCCACAGCAGCTGCAGCATTTTTCATTCCCTCTCAATGGGGCCCGAGGTTCCAGTTTCTCCTCATCCTCACCAACACTTGTTGTTTTGGATGGTAGCCATTCAATGGGTGATTACATTTCTTTGTAATTAATTCACATTTGGATTTAGATCACCATTGTGGCCAATGGCTCCCTTCTTGTGGCCTTGAGACCTTAGAGTGCTGGTTCACTTGGAGCTGCAGCCAGAGCCCTGAGTGGCCATGGAAGGCCTGGCCTTGGCCTCTGGAAGTACACAGCTGGTTATGGGGCTTCCCAGCCCAGAGCCAAGCCAGCAACGTGGAGGACAGATGTGGAGGCAGCTGGCCCGGACTGTGCTCCAAGTGAGGCATTTGGTCAGCTGTGAGGTCATCCAGGGATAGGGTGGAAACACTTCTAGCATCTGAGGCTTGGAGATCAATCCTGGGATGGACATAGCCTATCCCCTGAGAAAGACCATAAAGGCTGTGGGAGGAGGGTCTGGTGGGGGTTCTGATGGCAGGAACCGAGGGAATGCGGGCTCTGAGGAGGAGCAGAGGCCAAGGTGGGTGGGAGGCAGGTGTGGTTGGACCCTAGCAGCTCACAGCTGGGCTGGTTTCCCCTCATCGTTCAGGGTGATTCTGCCCATAGGGCTCCCTTCAGGGTCTCTTTGTGACAGAGTCTGGGCTGGGATATGTGGGTCCTGGTATTACATAGACATTTCAGGTTCCTCGGTTATCCATGTGCTCCCTTCCCTTGCACCTAATCTGGGGGCTGTGTGGCTAGTTTTATCTAATGGCCTCTGTGTAAGGAAGTCATGTGTGTCACCTCTTAGCCAAGGCAATTAAGACCCAGTGTGTCCCCTCCCTCCTTTGTTTCCCTAACATCGTGATCTTTGGAGCCGTACGTCCCAGTAGGCGCAGGTGCCAAATGGGGCAGGACCATTCAGCCTGTACTGGATATGATGTGTTTAAGGAAACACATACCAGCTCTATTGTGTTGAGCTCCTGATGGGGTGGAGACTTTGTTATGCATTGTAGCTCATCCTGGGCTGACTAGTACACCTGGTCCCGACCATTCAGTCAACAAATGTTCATTGGGCATCTTCTATATGTAAGGCAAGGGGTATAGCCGTAAGCAAGACAGGACATAGCTGAAGCTTGCATTCTGGTGGGGGACACAAACAATATTCAAGTGAAAATTAAAAGAGATCATTGCAGATAAAGACAATGAAAGAAGTAATAAAATAGGTGGAGAAGGGCTGGGAAAGGTGGGTCACTTTGTACAGGTGGTCAGCAAGGACATGCACAGAAAGTAACACTGGAGCTAAGACTTGACTGATAGTGGATGACTGTGCAAGGGTCAGAAGAGAATGTTCGGAGGAAACAGGTGGTGCAAAGGTCCTCAGGAATGAGGTCAGCACATTTGAAAGTGAGAAAGGGCTCCTGTGGGGAACAATGGGCCCAGGTAGGAAGGGAAGTTGCAGGTGAGCGGGGCCAGTCACTGGATGTGGAGAGGGACTTGATGTGACCTTAAGGACAGTGGGAAATCGCTAGAGGTGCCATTTCCTTCCTGCATTAATG